AAAAAAAAAAAAAAAAAAACAAGACGATAAAATTATTCGCACATACCTATACATATATTAGTAGTAGGAGCTATAGTTTGGAAATGTTTTTCATACAATTTACATAAATATTTAAGTGTTATGTATTATTGTATTTCATGATATGATCAGTTATAGATCTGTATGTATATATGATGCAAAGCTCAATAATAAAATTTAGGTTAAGTTATGCAAATCGAAGTAGATCTTTGATCTATATATTATAATTTATACATATTATACACACATATAAACATTATATGATATTGATTTAACGGCGAAACACGGTTAAATCATCGTCACTGGACGGCTTCGTTTCAGGTGCACTTCTACACAGAAAGAGACGTGGAGAAAATTTACGAAGCGGTGCCGAAACAGTGTCTGCTCGAAGACTACGGCGGCCTGGCGCAATCCATCGAGAAAACGCACGGTACGCATAATACCTAATAAAAGTATTTTATTATACGACGTTGTTATACCTACACAATAATAATATATATCTACATTACGTCGGTCCCGTATACATTATAAGTCACATCGTCACGACATTACAATATAACGCAGTCGGGCGTATCCACCACACTCACAATATGCGTGCAAGCTGTATGTGTCCTCATCTAAAGCATATATTATATAGCTTACGATCGTATTGGTAGGTACCCATGACCCATCATAGGTAAAGGAACTCCTCTAGAGCTCTGGAGCACGACTCATCTGTACGTCTGTGTACACAATTATTATGTAAGTTGATTTCATTTTCTTTCCCTATATCGTCGCGATCCACAGCCTATAATACGGATTGTAGGTAAATTATCACCCGCATGAGGTTCTTATTATTTTATTTCAATATATAGTGTTTTAACGGGAAAAAAAGAGTTCATAAATAAAATATCTGTAAAATATATATCATATAATAATGCACACAAATGTAATAAGTTTGGTAAGTAGTATAATGTATAAAGAAAAAAACATATATATGTTTATAATATTCGTCTGTATAGGAGTCGCATATACCCCATGGTACCTATATATAATATATATATATGCATATGTATATATATTATATACAGGGTAATTCTTTTATCAAACAACACTCATTATTTCAAAAACTATTGACTATTTTCAAAATTTTAGAGCCATTTTATTCTAGAACTATTCATTTTTTAAAAAATATTTTCATTTTTCACCCTTATATTTATCAGGTAAACCATTATCAACTTTTGATTTTCAAATGACAACCTGCTATACTTAAAATTTCATAAACTAAAAAGGCTATTTTTTCAATGAATTTTCACGTTTAAATTTTCATTTTTCGTTAATCCGTTTACAAGATATAGCCTCCCAAAGTTGGGTGGTGTTTGTGTGTTATAGGTGTATGTTCGGTGGTATTTACACGCAAACACCATATACCTTTGATAAAAGAATCACCCGGTATATAGGATGATATACCAAACATGCTCACCCTCATTTTCCCTTCAATAATGCAGTTATTCATAATCTTATTTTTGGAATTTTCAAACACAGTGAAACCTCTAAATACCGGACACCCTCGGAAAGTGAAATTCTGTCCGTTATTTAGAACGAGCAGTTTGTAGAAAGTTTATAGTCGGTTCTCGGGAAAATATCCGCTATTGGGAAGTTTTATATTGTAAGACTGAGTTTTAAAATTCTGGAGATTTTTGTACTAATTTAAGAGTGTCATTAGGTGGGTGGATATACAAATTTTTGTTTTTAACCGACCCCCCCCCCTTATTTTTGTTTTCAGTTTACAATTATTGCAGGAAAACCAAATTTGTAAAAAAATAAAAAACAATTTGAAAATATGTTAGTTTATTTAAGTATAGCTGGTACTTAATAATTCAGCAAAAAATCAAGTTTCAAATGAATTTGTTATTAAAGAAAATACAGAGGGTAAGAATATATTATATATAACACTGGGTAAATCACACTGTATACCTATAGAGTCAGTCGCCGAATTGTGTAAGTTCCGGCTTCTTATACCTACTGCGTGTTCGTATAATTAACATGATACATACCTATAATAGATTCCAACATTGTAATAATATTATATGTTTTTGGTTAGCTAGTTACATGTACGACACACACTACAAAACAAACTCGCAAACACGAGTGTACACAAATGTAGCGAGCGTACATACCTACTTACCTATATATTGTAATATTGTTTATGCAAAAATATAATATATAATTTTCTACGCATTCGTCCGGACGTCGTACTATCCTTATTATTATTATTACCAATACAAACGAAACTTACATATATATATATGAATATAAATAGGTTATACCGCACATACGTATATTACACTTAAATACGTTCTGTTCTCAAGGTCCACCGTTATTACATAACATATCGGTGTACGGGAATTTTTCGGTGGGAGTGACGCGGGAGAGTATCGTGTCTTTTCATACATAGGTACCTATATATTAGAATATAATGGCATATTAAAAATATGTATTCATGTTTGTGCATAATATTATTATCATATATATAGGTACGTGTGTATGTAGGTAGGTAGGTCGGGGTGTCATCGCGATTACAATATTATATTAAGTGTGTTATCATTATCATAATAGCGCGGAGCTGGGGTTAAATCGCGAGTCTTGACCCGGCCGGCGGACGCGTGAGATTTTTTTTACATATATAAATATATATATATATTATATAATAATATTACTATATTAGATCTTCTGTTGCTAAATGTCTAAATGTACCTACCTATATACGCCGTGCTATTGTACACACGTTTGTATAATTAGGTCATGCGGACGACTGCAACGCATAAACGAGAATTTTTTATATTATTAACTCACATATTATTATCATGACCGGAGGACAATTCGTGATTTTTGTGTTTTTGAACGATTTATAGCATCTATACTCATAAACTGTACAAAGTATACACCACACCTGGGTGGCTGGGTGTCTGACTGATGTCCATCGACCATTATCACTTATTGTGCACATACCCCCATATCCATCGGTCCATAAAAGGATGACCAACTACCCGTTAGGTATTATATAACCACTATTAGGTATTATACATAAATATAACTGTAATTTACAACACGTAAAACTAAATAAAAGGGCATAGTGCTGTAATCTGCGTCATTGTACCTTATTAAGGTATTAACTATCTACTTAATGCATATTAAATAAGTAAAATTTCAGTTACAAATAAAATATATAAAAATCAGTAATATTCTAATTATAAATAAATGTATATAATATTATACATATACCTTGTACCTATCTACCTATATATTGTATGAATAAAACCTAACAGAAATTTCTATTCGTAATAAGAACTCGATTTAGTTGACAGTTTTTATCTCTTTTCTTCATAGCTTTTCTCTATTTGAGTACCTACATTTTTCTGTTTATACTTGGTTGATCATCCCTATTATGTTCATTCATAGTTCCAACTATTTGTACAATATATTCAACAATTAAAGTTCAAAGTGTTGTGCAGATTGCATATTCTATTTCGTTTTCCGCCATGGCGCAAAATACGTTTTAAGTATTTTTATATTTTGGCGCAAATTACAAGTTATAAAATTGACTCAAAATACAATCTTTCCCACCACTTCCTGGCTTCCGCTTAAAACCCGTTATAATATTTGTTGGTAACCTCGATTACCTTCATTATCTTGACTAGGTACATTTTTATTTCGAAGGTTATTTTACTATTTTATTTGCGTCTAAATTAACATTTCATGTGATGTATTAAACTTAAATATGAATTATATATAATAATTATTAATTTAATCTAATACCTATACATAAAATAAAATATATTACTTATATATCTCTGATCATCTTTGATATGAAAAAAACTTCGAGTATGTCATTGGATAAAAATTCTTTTTTTTCTTTAATAACATCTAGACCTGCGCTCGGATAGCTTACATTTAAAGCACCCCTAATTTGCTATGTTGATCTACAATCTATAATTAAACGATAGATAACCCAAATAAGTTATCGGTTAAGGCGGTATTCCGAGATAAACAAAATATTGTTATTGGGTCATGAGAATTAGTCAGAGATGACCAACAAGTGTACCATTTCATGAACTTTAAAACTTAACTAATATTTCAATACGCACACAGACACAATTTATACAYTATAAATTATGGTTATTTGAGTTCTATAAATTGGTAATCTCAAACGGGAAAACTATATCATAAGTATTTTTACCTTGAGTTCATGTAAGTGGTAATAATTATAAAAATTCTATTGAAAAAAAAAATCGAAATTGCATGACGAGGAAATCAGTTGAATCTATTTGGTACGTTAACAGATATGCGTTAAGACTTTAAGAGTCAAAATTGTTCGTAATACCTAATAATATCTACGCCAGTACGATATACTTACTGAAATTAGTATTTCAAATACATAATAGTTACATAAGTCATCTATAGTACTTACCTAATTTTACTGAGAGTAGAAATATGTACCTATTAACACTCCAAATGTATTTAGCTATTCTTATTTATATTATTAGGTATATAAAATTTGTTTTATTAAATAAGATAAATTCCGGGAACGGGTGGGAACTGTTTAGCACAATACTGCAACGCGGACCCTAATATACGTATACCTAGATAATACGTACAGTGTATAACCTATACATTGCTATTTAGTTTAAGTCTTATAATTTTCTCTTTGAAAGTTTAAAATGAAACTTAAGTCATAGGTTTCTGCATTAATAATTGTTAATCAAAAATCGATACTATAGTAATCGATAGTTTTTAAAAATTCGAGAAGGAAAAAATCATTAAATACGTGAAATTAAAGTGTTATAAATGTCCAATGAAACAAACTGTGAATTATGGATAGTATTTTTTGAGATATGCAAATTTTAAAAGACCTATGGTTTATGACAAGGAAGAAATTTACACTCTGTACCTATAATAGGTACCAATATTATAATAGTGAATTAGCAACAAATAATAATATGCTTACATAGTGCATATGATTAATGCGGTTTGTTTTAATTTTTAATTTATGGAATACCAGAGAAAGCGGAATAACAAAAACCACTAATTACATTTCTTTTTAAAAAATTTTTATTAGAAAATATGCAATCTATACACAAAGGCATAATAAGAATAATGTGTTACAATATAATTCCAGTGATCGCACTTCATTTTGCTTAAATATAATTTGATATATTTTTTTATCTAATTAATCAGTGACGGCTCGTGGGTTTTTAATAAAGTAGTGTACATTCAAAAAAATATATAGCCAATATCATATATATATACCTATATATAATATAATATAAATATTGTATTAACTAATTGTTTACAAATTTTAGTTATTTACTAATTATCTTTTATTTTATTTAACACGATTTTTTTGAATTTCTGATAATGATCGGAATAAAATAAACGAATAAGTAAAAATAAATTATAACGCCGATCCCGACGTGTACCTATTTAAAACAAGTTTTTTTTCCTTAACTAATGACGATTAATTTTGATTTTACAGCTCATTTTGTCGAATGGATGAAATTAATGAAGCCGTTGTTTGAAGACGATTACCAATACAAAACCGACGAATCAAAAAGGCCAAAAAAGAGTAAAAAGTCCATATCAACTTCATTTAAATCGTTGGAAATCGACTGATGTTAGAAATCTTGATTGCAAATTACAACGTAATCGGAAGACGAATAATGAACCATTATTTATTAAGAAATATTCTCGGGTCGGGTAAAAATAAGATTGTTAATAAATATGTATTTAACTTATTTTGTTAGAAAAAAATCAATAACTAGGTAGGTATGATGATATTGTGGTAAAATGTAACGTTTTTATTTTTATCACTTTTATTAAGAAATGACAGAAAACTTTATTATATTCTCGTCGCTGTACATACAAACTTTACGAGTATAAACATTCGGAAGTATAGTATTAAGTATTTCTTAAGTATTTAGGTATTAGTCAACATGCTATAGCCTATAATATTAAGTTATGGCGATATTATGTGTATATAATATATATTATTAAATATAAATATTATGTTTATCATTAAAGAACAAAGTATTATATATTTATATTGATGATTACCTACCTACACGGCTACACGTAAGAGTCGAAAATGTCCGTAGTTGTTTACGTCAACATTTCAATCGTCATCCGTCGGCCATCTCCATCTGCAACCGGTCCATTATAATTATACGATTATTATCGTACAGATTCATCCGTTCCTGTTGGTTTGTATCGCTCTATAATCGTGTATATTAATATTATATATTATCATATATCATACATTTATATATCCGTATCGGGCCGTACATAGGTTGATTCAGTTGAGTGTCGACAGTATTTTATCATATACGTATTCAATATTAAAAAGATAATTATTATAATCACATACCTGAAATGTTATTGTAATTTAAAACTTAATAATAGATACGTCCATCTAAATATCATATTACATAATAGACAACTATATAGCTGTACGCATAGTATCGACCATCGACTAAGTAGACATAATTAATGTCTTAGAAATATGCATATATAGATAAATGATGAGAATAATCAAGAATATCAATTAGGTACAAATTACAATATTATATATAATTAGAACAAAACAGATCTTAATATAGTGGTAAAAAACATGCGCGTTGGCTGGTCATAAAATTAATTGTTTAAAGATTTTATTAAAAGATGATGTATTCTTACTTTGTAATGGTTAATAAATAATGTTTCTTTATAATCAAACAGTAAAAAATCTTAGACAGGATGAGCACTCTAAGCTTTTATAAAAAAAAAAAAAAATTACGAATAAGATTTTTCATTACAGAATAATATTTTATTTGCCAATAAGCTTCATTCATTACATAATGCTCATCACTTGAACAGAAACATTTTGCTCAGCACTAGTTGTAGTGTTGTAGAAATCACTGAAAAAATTTGACAATTGAGTAGTTTCAACTACTTTTCTGTTTGACTTGACCTAAATATTTGAATAAATATAAATTATTAATTTTAACATTGGAATTTTTACTATTTTGAAGTAATATAACAAATAAAAAAAWTTGTCATTACCAATTGCAGATTTCCAAATATTGAAATTTTATGCTTTTTGGAAAATCCTATACATTTATAGTTGGCAGACGGTAGTAGACATAGGCAAATGTAAATATACTGTCTCTCAAACATTAAATACACTTAGAGCTTCATTGAAATAGATTTAAAATAATTTTTATATAATAACAGCTAATATCATAAGGTAGGTATAAAGTCACAATTAAAACCACATTTTTTAATAACAGTACTAGAAGTTGAAATTACATGATCTGATTTTAAATTACCCAAACTGGTATATTTAATAGGTAATTCATATTGTTTGAAAAATTAGTCTCATGTCTAGGGATTAATTTATGTTTTCAAAAAATAACCGGAAAATTACACACTTTTATATTAATTATTAAAATAATAATAAAATGTATATTTATTTAATCAAACAAAAAAGCTTCTTCTATTTTTTTATTTTTATTTTGAAAGGTACTGTTACATAATAATAATAAAAAAGCTTTCATAACAGTGTCTAAATTATATAAGTATAATTATAATAAGTTTGTGTTTTTTTTTCAAATGGCTCCTTTTATTTACTTCTATGCTTATGAGGTAATTCATATGAACCTACAATATGTTTTAAATTAATATTTGATCAACATAGGTGTTTTTTCCGATTCTTAATTTCTTATGTAGGTATTTGAACTATCCATCAAAGGATGCTAAAATTAAACTAGCACCACTAAGCAGCTCCAGCGATGATGGATTTAAATACATCAAGAACCAGTCAATATGTATAAAACCATAAAATTCTGCGATAAAACTGAGTAAACTTTCAAGTTTTAGATGCTTATAAATTAATTTAGAAATTACTTAAGATGGTTAAAAAAACAAAACTTACAGCTTAAAAAAGCATGACTGACTAGATACAGTAACATTTGAAAATAATGTTGATAAGCTTAAAAATTCTCTAATTGAAAAACCTAAAATCAAGTTAATTTCATTTCATTATTGTTACTTACCTAAGTTTGGTTAATTTAACCGAAAGCGGYATATCTTCATGTTATAATGTAAATTTTATATCGTATAGGTTTTAGGTTAGGCCCCAAACCCTATCCATTATGTTTAAGAATATATAAGTATCTAATTGGTTTTTAATTATTTTTGCACATCAAGTAACTAAATTTAGTTTATCACTTAGTTGAGTTAGTTGGTTAACTGAATTGGTTAAAAAATAAAATCTTGAATGTCATCAACCATTCATCAGACTTTTGCATTATAAATGATGAAAAATAAATTTATACTGATGATTAACTATTATAAAATAGGATATAGATAATCTTTACTATTTTGAAAGGAACAACAATTTTTGGTAGGACAACAATATTATCTAGAATTAATTAAAATAAATGATCTATAATATCCTAAAATTTAGTTATTACAAATAAAACAAAAATTCATTAAAAAAATTGTCCAAGAATGAAATTCATATGTATTAATTCTTATAATATTATGAACATTGGAACATATTAAGTTAGTACTATATACAACAGCGCTAAAATTTTGGGAGTGGAGTTATAGGCCCCACTTGGTATTATATGAAAAGAAAACTGTAGGGGTATTGCCTTCATAAAAATTCAATCAAAAATATAAAAAAATTAAACAAAGACATTTTTTTTTACTCAAGATTCATTTTTTACAGTAATAATATGTTTATATATTCTAGTTTAGTTTATAAAATGAAAGAATAATAATTGTACCAATGTACTGACATAAATCATTTCCTTAAAAACGAATACAGGCATACAGCTAATGATATTTACCAAATTTATCATAGGCAATATAAATTAATAATTTTAAATAAAAATTGAATAATTACATTTTTCCCCAAAAAAATAAAAAGAATAAGTTGAATTTTAAAAGATTCATAATATTTTATAAAACATTTAAAACGGTTATTTTCAGTTTCATTCTTGAAAATTAAGAAATTCTCCTCATAATTTGCATTGCTGTTGTTTGATTGAAATACCTCAGCAAAGGCATGGGCAATTTCGGAGGTTGAATATAGTTCAGTTTGGTTGTGGTGCATATGGTTAGGAAGAGGTTGGTGTTTACATCCTTTGAGTGCACGAATTTTGTTCCAGATTGCTGATGGGTGGGTTCTGATATTGATTATAGATATATATTTCTGTCAGCATTCTAGTTTACTTTTTTTTGTGATGTATCTGGATTCAGCTTTGTATTTTTTAACTAGTATATGGTCTGTTTGTAAGTGGGTTTTTTTTAAGCGGTTGAGAGCTTTTTTATATNTAAGTGTCACAATAAGACATGATCAGTATGTTAATTAATTTCGGTTGGTATGCAACTGTGCATTTATGTATTTCTTGTTTCTAAAAATATAGCTTGACATATCCATATGTATATTTTTTTTTTATACATAAAATAACATGAAAATTAAGTTTTTATTTACACCCTAGATTKTTACAAACATTAAATTAAGTTAAGCAATTCTTAAACCATTGAAAAATATAACTACATTAAATTGTACTTAACTGAAATTCAAGCTAAACTTGTTTGAAGATTACAACAAGAATAAAAAGTAAACAAAAATGTATAGAAGACGAGAGTATACTTTTTTTTTTAAATGTACATTATTAATTTTTTATTATTTAATTTTTAAACACATGATCAAATTTAAGAATTCTGTAAAGTATTATATATTTGTTCAAGTTAATAGATAACCTTATAAAATATTTTATTGTACTAAGTAAGGTTCATAGGATATTTTTAAGATACAAATATTTAAAATATGGAACATCTTATTTTATTAGATGTTTTAAAAAAAAAACTTACATTTAAAAATCACATTATATAAAATGTTGTTGGTTGTTCTACATTTGCTACCTGAAACAGATTAATTATTATTAAACTTACGAATATCCATGGTTTGTGATACAAACATGATTAAATTGTTAAGACACTAATAGTCAGACAATTTTATTTTTTTATTTTAAATAACAGTACTTACTCAATGTTTAATTTTAGTAACAATTATAATAGTTCTTATTGCATACAAATTGTCAAATTAATTTTTATGTTTAGTTCTTGGTGGTCATGTAATCAGTATAAGTAAATGATAATAACCAAATAATTTAAACAATTACATTTTTTGAATTTGATTTATCAAAATATTCAGCAATAATTATAAGTATTGCATAATTTAATGCTTACAACTGAAATATTTATAGGTGTAGTATATTAATTATAATCATAATTACCTATATTATGAACTTAAATTATTGTCTATTCATTAAGATTCACAAAATAACGATAATAAGCTAACTTCAAATTTAATTTATTAGAAAAATAATTTATAAATGTGTGTAGTAAAAACAGTTTATTACTACTTATAGTTAAGAGGATGCTACACCCGCATGTGTTGTCTCCGTCTTACAAGTGCGTAACATAGCAAAATCTGTTTAGCGCGGGACAACTGTTCTCCCTCAATATTTACAATAGAATTTTCAAAATTTCACAACACATAGGTAAGAACTTTATCTGTGTCATAGAGTCGTTATTTTTTTGATAGCACAAACCAATAATTTTAAGTAATTTAATGAAAAAATAAAAAAATAAATGTATTTTCATAAGCTTATAACTTTAATTATATTTATGTTATCAAAAAAATAATGACGCTATGACACAGATAAGTTCTTACCTATGCGTTATGAAATTTTGAAAATTCTATTATAAATATTGAGGGAGAACAGTCTCGCGCTAAACAGATTTTGCTATGTTATACGTTTGTAAGACGGAGACAACACATGCGGGTGTGGCGTCCTCTTAAGTATTAAATACAGGAAATGAAAGTCGGAAATTTGAATACACAGTAATAAAAAGAATGTAAATTTATACGAATAATTGGATGTTTGATTTAATTTTATCCATGAATGTTTACAGGAAATACAAATAATGCAGCTGTACTATTGTTTAATAACATTATAGTTAGTAAGTAATCTTTAATGTTTTTGAACTTCAAATGATTTTAATATATTGATGACAAACACAATGTAGATAAATATAAATAAATATACACATTATAAGGTAAAATGAACAATATTGTTTACCCTGGCATCAATAATTGATTTATACGTTGGTAACATGTGAGTAGAGCAACTGGCAAATTTGTTATTAGATATCTTCTTGACTCTTACGCACACAACGTGCAACCTTGCGTTTGAATTCTGGATAATTGTCACGCCAATCTTTAGCTGCATCTACATTAGCTGGACTTTCATCATTAGGATCAGCCAACATTGAAATAACTGATATCAATATAGTCTCAACAGTATGCACTGGTAACCAACGTTCACTTGCTTTTTCATAACCCCACTTATCATCACCAGGTTCATGAAGTATTGATATACAAACGTCACCACTTTTATCAACTAAATATAAAAATAATATGAACATTTATTACATAAATTAATACATTTTTAAATACAATAATATAAAAATAAATTTTTTTGAAGAACAGTAGGGTCAGTCAAAAAATATAAATTAAATAATAAGTAATAACCTAGTGATAAAATTCATCAAATAATATGAAAATAGAAAACGGAGATCAATACAGATTGTTACAAAAGTAATTTTAAAAACTTTATTCATTTTCAGATTTACTAAAAAGAAAGAGGGGTAGTTAAACAAAATAAAGCAGAGTTGGTTATTATTTGCTTAATACTAGGTCATTCTTAATATCAAATGGTTTGAAAATTTAATACAAGATTTTTTTAAATTTTTTTTAATGGCAGTTTAAAAATGTAAGATAATCAGTCAGTAGCCACTATTTTTTTTTTCATTAACATTTAAAGTTAAAATTTTAACGAATTTTATCAACAATTTGCAAATTGTTTTGTAGTTAAAAACAAATAAAATGTTTAATATTTAGAGTTAAGGTTTGACAATTTTTCAGTATTTCATACTGTGATCATAAAGTTTAAAAATGACATTAACACTATTTTGTTTAATGGATATTTTAAGTTCAAACTTGGACAAAATTAAGTTTAAATGGAGAAAAACAATTTTAGTTGTTATTTTGTAATTAAAAAATAATAAACAGACACCTACATGGAACTTTTAAAGTATCTATATTAAATGAAATGTTGTAAATTAATTCAATTTACTGTTTGACTAATAATAAAATGAATTAATTTAAAGCTATAATAAATAATACACTTATATTTTAAAATAAGCTGACAGTCCATCTTCACTCAGAATTGTTTTTCAAATAAAAAATGTTTAAATCATTGAATTCTAATTTCACACATCTATTACACTTCTTCCCCTTTTTAATAATGTTATATGACACCCTCTTCCCTGTCTATACCAGAAAATCTGTGTTAATTTAATATGTGATCAAATTATGGAAGAATTATAAATACTTTACAAGATACTTTAACCATTTATCATGTTAGTACATTATTGACTAGTCGCTATATTGTATGTGCAATTTTAAGTGCATACCTATGTCTTACAAATATTATAATATAGTTGAACATTTAACATTATAATTTTTGAATTCTTATGAGTTATTTCTCTCTTAACATTTAACATTGGCATTCCATTTCTACAATAAATTTTGATAACAGATAAAAAATGTGGCAGTTAATCATTAGAAAATGGTATGTCATTACAAAATAATAATTATTAAACATTTAAACAATTCACTTTTTTAACAGTTCTGTTGTAAAAAAATTATGTAGTACAACGGACAGTCAACCAGTGGCAATGTGATACATGTTATAAGGTGTGATAGTAATAAATCTATAATTATTGAAACTAAGGCCGGTGACACACATGAGAAATTTATTTTGTTACTTGGAAACGCATGTATTTAAATGGAGCAACACATACTGTTGTTTCCGAAACGTTATCGCAAAAATATTTTGTAAGCAAGTTTCATGAAACCAAACACGTTTGGTTTCATGTGTAATTGTTTCGTCATTTCACTATATCAACTCCCGCGYAGTTAACRACGTAAATAGGTATGTACAAATATGATAATTTATAATAATTTATATTGTTATTGATTATGATTATATTATAGTATTAACTACCTTTTTAAACTATCTTCTATATTATAAAGATTACAGAAAAAGTACAAATATCAATAGGTAACAGTAAAAATGTAAAAAAAAATAATGCAAAAGTTTAATACCTATTGGTTTCGATTTAACCACCACTGGACCACTGCAGAACAATAATGTCATCATCGGACGACATCATTAGACCAACTAAAATGAGCTGGGCGAACTAAATGGTGGGTAGGTGAGAAAATATTTATGAAACAAATTTTTTCTGTGTGTATTGACCATGAAATTTGTTTCGTGTGATTCATTGTAAAAAACAAATTTCTCATGTGTGCCACCGGCCTAACAAAAAGTTTGTCTCAATAATTGCTAGATTGAAGGTTTAAAAATCAAAACTAACATTTAAGAACATAATTTAAGCATGACAATTGAGTAACTGTTTGAAAAATAGAAATCTGATATAATATATGCCACTATTCAGCACTGAAGATTAATTAGGAAGCCAGTTTAAAAAAAAATGCAATTTTATACCTAAATATTAAATATTTTAACCTAAGTTATCACTTAATCAGTTTTAATTTAAATATGTAGATGTATGCAAATCTGTTTGTTTCTACTTATAAGAGATTTAGGTAGGTATACAATATAAATTTCATTCTTAATGATTAATAAATAAACTTACTATTAGGGTGCCAAATTTCAGTAACAAATTTCATTTTTGGTGGCCTCAATGGATACTCTTTAGGAAAATTAACATGAGCCTTGAAAAATCCTCCTTCACTGTAAAAATAATAGTTTTTAAAAATATTATAACACATTTTAACAGGATTATTCTATAGTAAGTATAATAAATTGATAAGCTTATTATTACCAATATCAGCAATAAATGGTTAAAAAGTCCATTTACTTAAATTTTATAAAAAAAAAACTTTAAATTATTGCATTGAAACAACTTGTATACTCTTATAAAAAGAAGGCACGTTCTAAATAAACCTTACAAAAGAGTATAATCTTGTATTTTCCCACGATTAGTCAGAGTATCAAACCCAGTTGTAAAATTAAATATTTTTATATCAGAATTCTAAATTTATAGGTTAGTGAATTTATCTTATCTAAGAAAAAATAGTTTATTTTAGTATTTTATTCAATTGAAAATTTACCTAGTTGTCAAAAAAGAAAACATATAAAGATAATAGCTATACAGATACTCGACAATTAAACAAGGTTTAGTAATTAGGTCAAATAAAGATGTTGATGTTATAAAAGACCAATGATCAATAATAATTGATTAAGATTATTAATATAATATATTACTTCTAAATAGTCTTAGATACCTACATAACATAAAAAAAAAGATAAACGGTTAAATTTAATAGCTACTTACTACAAGGTGTCTGGAGGTCCAATAATGAGCACTTCCCATTTGTAAATATCATTATCGTCTATGAGACCAGCAGAGAACCCTTCTACTGGGTTCTTGTGCAATTCTAAAAAAACAAAAAAAAACAAAACATTATTAATAAAGACAGTCAAATGACTTAACCAACTCCAAAAACCCGATCGATTCACAAGTGTCAAGGAATACGATTTGGAAGGTATATAGTTTCTTATTTTTGTTGCGATAAATTACCATCGGGTAAGGTACTAAGGTTTAGTTTGAAAACATTTAACGTAAAAAAACCCGAGACAAAGTAATCATTAGGATACATGGTGGGCCAGACGGAATTTTGAAGACACGTGAAAATATTTTCGGTTGACCATCGGGATCAGACGCTAAACACGACAATCGGCCATGGACATCAAACCACCACAGTTTCGATCGCGAGATCGGAGAACAAAAACAGACGGACCGCTGCGATACTTACCAGTCAGTTGTTTTTTTAATAATAGCGCCGACTGTAGTTCTGACATTAAAATTGATTTCGTCACCCAAAAGTGATGTTGATTAAAAAAATTTTACACTTTTGAGGGAACAGGATTTGTTGAGTGCTAAGCGTTAAGTATTTTGTGCGGGTTACCCGTATTCCAGCGAATGGAAAATATTAAAATAAAGGAACTAAGGGACACAGAAGAAAGAATAATAATAATAATAATAATAATAATAGAAACTGTATTATGTTATGTATCAAACAGCAGAACGGGCGCACGGCAGTGCGGCTTATTGGAAATAAATTACCGGAACGGGTCGACGGTCGTCGTGCGTCTGCGCCACTGTCAGTGCGACAGTGTGACCACGACTTACGGAACTAGACTGATGCAGTGATGCGTTCTCTCGACCATCGCACCGTAGACACGAGTACACGAACACGACACTGGTCTGTACTTCTCACAGATATCTATACTTAGTATAGATATCTGTGGTACTTCTGTAGTAGTGTAGTGTCTGTACAGAGTGTACAGTGGTGTATACTACGCTCAACGCTGTCGCCCATCAATCTTGCCGTGGGGCCGAAAATCGGACAGCGACGATTTTTCTTTAAATTATTATAATTGTTAATATTATTCTGACCCTTTCTTTTATGTTTATGACCCCTTTTAAGACGTAAGATCCGTTTAACCGAGAGTTCAGAGATGTGACCACTAATAATCGTATAGCCATAGCGTTATGGACTTATATGTGAGGGCTATAAGTTATAAATTATATTCAATTATATTTCTGGTATACCTACTACCTACACATCATATATATTATAAAAATTTAACTAAAAAAAATTACGGGATGGAGGGGGGGCTAATTAACATTAGTTACATGGAGGCTTCAGCCCTAGATAATCATTTAGAAGATCACGACATATAACATCGTTTGTTCTTCGTTAAATATCCTATTTTTGTCCACATTTTAACTTTAAATAAAAAAGTATAAAAAAATTGTATTTTTTAAAATATATTTTTTAGATTTTTAGGTGACAGTATAAACTACCTACTTAATATGAGGAACCAGAAGAAMCATCTATCAAAATTAAAATTGCTAATCCTTATATGTATAAAAATTGAACACTTAAGTTATAAACTAGAAATATAAAACGATTTGCAGATTTTCGTAATTTTATCACAATTCTGACTTTGAACATGCTTATAAATATTTTATAGTAAGTGTAATTCTAAAAATGTTAGTTAAGTATTTTCGAAATTTTTCAATTCATTGGTGCATATGATCCTATGAATATTTTATGAGTAGTAAGGTATTTATATTTAATTTTCGAGATTTTTAACCGAATGGAAATTTTTGTATTGACATTTAGGTATAGGAACAAAACTAGAAGAATACAAATGTTTATGCATTGTTCAAAAAGATTAAAAAGATTTTTATAAATTAGGTAACAAATAACAACGATAATAAGATCAATTGAAAAATTTACTCATTGTAAAATAACATAATTATTTTCGTAATTCCATCATCATTATAATTCCCTGCCTATCAGACTCGAAATTCCCCCCTGGAGGGCGAATCTCCAACATTACAGGTTGGGAACCTTTGCTCTGGATGTTTTGGTATAATTTTAATTTTTAAATGATTCTTTTCTAAATAAAAATTATTTAGAAATCACTGAACTTAGAAATATTTTATATTATATTGTAATATTATTATTGTATTTAAAAATTAAGGCCCAGTGTAAAAATTACATTTTAAAACATACCTATCATATAATGGCTTTCTAGTTCTAATAAYTTTTAATACTATTTGCATTATTTCAATTTTTAATGTCTATGTACATATTATATATTTTCATTTCTACTAAGTAAATTCCACGGTTAAAGATATATTCATATATCTTTATATCTTTAATCGTGGTAAATGCTGATTGTTTGATGCTTATAAATTATAAATCATCAACCATATTACGAATATGACGGTAGATGAATAAATTAATAGTTTGAAGATTTGAAGACTTGAAATTTGAACACTTACCTATGTGAATTGTATTATTCTAATTAACATTCTATACACTATAAATGTCTAATACATTTGGTCAAAGCGTAGCTGGCGCCGCTGGCGGCTGCCGACCTGGCCGACATGCGACATTCCGTGTTCTCACTGTTTTTTTTTTTCAAAACAAATTTTATCTATTGAAAACATGTTCATGAGCTCTTATCAGTTATCATTTTGGTCACCTTATCTGGTTTATCACAAATTTTCAAATTACAACAACATTGTTTTTGTAATAAATTGTTTCATTTGAAATGTTTGATTTTTTTCTCCTATTATATAATTTCTTATTATGTTACTAATTTTATGTACTTATTGTATTTTATTTAACTGAATCGTTCAAAAAGTATGTGACGTATAACAATTTTCTATTTCGTTTAATACATCTAATCTACATTATTAAGGTACTTTTAATAATAATTTGTATAACTAATTGTTTAAATATTAAATAAAAATGTTTTTATTTTGTAATAGTAGGTATACTTCATTTTTTAAATTTTTAAGTTAGTACTATGGCAATCAATGATTTTACAATAGCTGTGGTTTGTTCAAGTAATATGAATCGAAGTATGGAAGCAMATGCTTTTTTAAGGTAGATTATTAAAAGTTATTTTATATTGTTATGAATATTCTATTTATTATTTGCCACTGTCATGACTTGTAAGTGTTGTTGTAAAATGTTTTTCATACATTTAAATTGAAGTGAAAGTATTTTTTTACTCTTATTAGTCATCAGATGATAATTCTTAGTCACAACCAATTAAAAAAAAACTTAAATCAAACATTATTTTAATTATTTTTAATTGTTAAGTCCTACCTAGTTTATATTAGTATATTTAATTTGATAGAAGTGTACGATTTTACCATTTATTTATTATATTTTTGATTTTAGGAAATTTGTTATTAACTTTAATCTATGAAAAATTGAACACTGAATTATCACATATTGTTATTTATTAAAAATTAATAAATTTATTTGACTAGCTTTTGTATTCTATTTAAGTTCCTATGTCTAATAACATTATAAATATTTCCTTTATGTATATTTATCATGATATGAAATGTTTTTGATTAATTTGTGCTTATGATTATAGTAAAAAAGGTTTCAATGTTCGATCATTTGGAACAGGAGACAAGGTGAAGTTACCCGGAACAGCACCAGACAAACCAAATATATATGATTTTGGATGTTCTTATGATGAAATTTACAGAGATCTATACAACAAAGATAAAACATAGTATCCTTTAAAAAAAAAAAAAAAAATAAAACAATTTAATTGTATTTTACTTTTTTGTACATTGTATAACTTTATTTAATAATGTTACCTTAGCTATAATTTTAAGCATTGCAGACATTATCTTTTTTTTGTGTATTATGTATTTTCATTTGATATTTAGTGATTGAAATTAACAATGATTTGTAATAACTGAATTGTTTTGAATAGACGTTAATAAGTTATACTAGGAATGGATTGAACCAAAATTTTCTGAAAATTTAAACTTGACTCAGTGAAAAAGTTAAACCTTATTCAGAGGTTAAAGTGGGAAAAAATTCCAGAGAGGACTAATGTTTCCAAAAAGTTTTAAGCGTTCCATATATAATTTTATGTATAATGTCTAATGTATAAAATCCTAATTTGTTAAAGGGGACGTTTTTTAACCGCCGTCAGAGGTAAGGGGACTGAGTCCTCCTGCGTCCCCCCCACTTTAACCCCTGACCTTATTAATTATTATTAAATAATATTCTTTAAACAATATTTATTTTTACTTTTTTACACAATTAATAAAATAATAATGAACTTGAAAAATTAATCATAGAAGTTGATCTGGCTTGTTGTAAATTTTGTTGTTTTGCATGAATCTTGTATTTTTTTAAATAACAGTAATCATTGATTATTATGTTAATCATATGGAAATGTCTAATTAAAATTATAAAACAGTCATTTATTAAATTATACAAATAAGTCTAAAAGTACAATATAGTTGAGTAAAATATAAAGTAGTTTAAACCTTTAAACTAGATGTTTTTGAAAATATATTTAATATATTTAAAAAATTGTCTTTTCTTCTGAAAATTTATAAATAAGATCGTCTAGGAGTTAATTTATACATTTTTAACGATTAATACTCATTTTTATTCAGTTTAACTTTCGTATCTTCATTTATTTATGTTTTATTTTTTGTATACAATTTATAAACAGTTTATATTATATGATTTAAATGTAGTTTTTAAAATAATATTATATATAATTTATATTTATACTCTGTTCAAGTTTAAAAAACAGCAGCAGCTAATTTGTGTACAGTGGCTTGGCAATACTACTTGATAGGTGTACAAATAGTTGACATGTTGGGGGTGGAAACTGACAAATGGGGTGTTTCGTGACTGCTGCACTATGAAAATTGTCATTGCCGATTATGCTTATTAACTTGAACAGAGTATATTATATAGTTTTGATGTTATTTATTGAAGATTTTATTATTTCATTAACATATTCTCAATTATTTTTATCATTATTTTCTTAACACAATTTTATATTTAGTTATACACAAAATGGTTTATTAAATATGTTGGATAGAAATCGGCGGATAAAGCAACATCCAGAAAGATTTCAACAATGTAATGAACAATTTACTGTAGTTATTACGTGTGAAGAAAGAGTATATGATCAAGTTCTTGAGTGTATGTTTTAATGATAATCTTATCATTTTATTATGAAAATTAAAATTAAAATCATATTTATTTAATAATATGTTTAGATTTTGAAACTATTCAAAGTTTTGGAAATAAGCCAGTTCATGTTATCAATATAAACATTCAAGACAATCAYGAAGAAGCAACAATTGGAGCATTTTTAATCTGTGAATTTGTTACTTTGGTAATATTATTTTATTGATACAGTTTATCCAAATATCTAATGAATATTATTGTAATTTTTTTCTCCATTTTAGTTGTCCAGAAGTGAAGATCTTGACAATGATATTGATCAATTAGTTGTTAAATATGAAGAAAAATGTCAAAGGTCACTTCTCAACTGTGTACTTTTTTATTAAATCTTAAATTTAAATTTAAATGTGACTATAATTTATAATTCTTTATCTAAGTGATTAGATATTAAATATTGTATTTGAATCAACATGAATATAATATAATATAATATAATATAATATAATTATATTATATTGGGAATAAAAGATTTATATCATCAAGTATAATATATACTATATTTTATTTTATCAATAGAAAAATGACTCTGGGCCCATTGATTGAACCCCTTTAATTTTAATTTTAAATTTAATAATATTTATTGATTTTAGTCTTTGAGCGGAGTATGAAATGTATTCTTTTAAAAAAGTGACAAATATTGAAATATGCTTGTTTCAACTTTTGGTAACAAATTTAACTCACTTGGTTTATGCATGAYAAAAATATTGAGTAAAAAGCTTGAAAATTTAATACAAGGTTTCTCATAAGTTCAGAATATCTTAATTAAAAAATATCAAAATCAGTCATAATAATTTTATTAGCATTTAAAAATTATTTTATTGGGATAAATGAGATAATTTTTCAGGATAAGAATTTTCTTTTCATCATAATTCAGATGACTGTGTTGAATGCAGTTACTGAGGTATCAACTTCATACCTACTCGTAATTGTAGTACGGATTCTTTGATTTAAATCAATTTTTTAGGCTGGAAAGCAGAAGAGTTAATTTTAACTGATATTACTGCATTGATTGCATGAAAAATGTGTAGTTATACACAATAGCATTCCTACATTGGCTACATTAGTGCTGATTGAATCATGATATGTTGAATAAATCTATCATTATTGTTATTTATCTATGTAGTACCTACGCACTTTCTTTTGAAGCAATCAATGTTATTTTAACTTATGCTTGTTACGATGTATTTATAATATGTTTTACTTTTAGATAAAAATTCGTTTATGATAGGTAATACAATTATATTATTGATATGAAGTAGTACTTACATAAATGTTTGAGGGTGTTATTATAGATTGCAATTAGAAATAAAATATAGGGATTTGATCTCAATAACGGAAAAACTGTTTTGATGGAAACCGAGAAAAGTGTTTACCATGTTCATTAAGTGTATCGTGTATCAGATTATGAAGTGATTTAATATTCACTCGTTTTGCATATTTTATATTATGCGTAAAATAAAGCAAAATCTACTCAAAATCGTTACGTGTGTGTTTCCGAGTTACGATAGTGACAACCGTGTCGTACTTAACGATAAATTTAAAATATAATATCGTAGGTATCTACGTCCAGTCTATATATCCTGAATGGACGAGGCTAGTTATTGGGTCGAGCGAAYAAGTGATAAATGTATCAACTTCCTACTTAGGTGTTATATTGGGTTTTCGTTATTATTATTACTATACATAGAACTGGTACCGAACTCGAAGTTTTTTTGTGGAGCGAAATCTAAAATTGTTTGTCCACCCATCACTGCAGCGCAGAAGGRACAGTTGCCCCGGGCCCAAAATCTTTGTAACTTTGTATTGTATTGGTTTGTTTTCAAATTAAAAATACGAATGCCGTCTGCAGATTCAACGCTTTTTTGGTTCACTGAACTTCGATCGTCGTTTTATTTCCAGCGCGGCCGAATTACAAGCCAAGCGCCGAACGACTATACTTGACAGCCGAGATCAACAAACAAGACTGTTCGCTACTGTGGACGACGACATGCGCCAGCCTGTCGACGAGTGCAATGTTTGCCAACACAGCACCTGAGCCAGGGCGCCGCGGTCGAGCCGTCCTGGAACAGAACGTCAGCGGTCAGTGGCAGCCGCCGAGTTTTATACCAAAAAAGTTATATTCCGCCGAACAAAGATACAGCACGTAAGACAGAGAACATCTCGCCACGAGCGACGTTTACATCCAAGTGCGCCTCGCAAATAAATTCAATGGGTAGACTGAACATTTATAACGTAATTTATTGTATTACGTATAATCGAGTTTGTGACTTGTGAATAGTACCAACAATAAATAATAATAATATAATTACTACAYGGAGCGATATAATGTCAAATAATAACTAAATTCAATGGCTTAATACGGACGCACGACAGTACGACATGGTGCAGATTTTCGTGTGAACAGAAAAAATACGCGATGACGACCGCGATGATGACCGCGATGCGAACGGTGGAAAGCCGAAAACTTTGAAATTTCAGCGAGTCTAGTCTCAATGTACTGAAGTACTAACATCTATATTCTATACCCCGTTTTCTCATTATTAATTTAAAAATAGAAAACATAATATATTATATTAGGTATCAGTATTAATATCGAAAACCATGATAATAATTTTTTAAACGGATATACTCGTAAAAATATAATACAAATTTCTTTAAACTTTTTTATTTTGTCACAATTTTTTTTGTTTATCGTGTCGTGTCGTCTCAAAGACTCCCCTGACGAGCCGTCACTGCGTTTACACTCAAGGCAGAAGAGATCGTCGATCGACAGGCGACAGGTACGACAAATTTCGTCTCTGCCTCAATTCATATACACACAACGTCGAACACATTTCCGGCAAGGACAACATCGTCCCCGACGCGCTGTGGACATTTATAAATCGCCGAGACAACAGCGCTACCGGACTCACGGCAGTGGGCAATCGACTGAGCTAACGAAGTAACGAATCAGTAACCAGGCCCGGCTCAAGTGCTTAAACTCAACTAGGCAAACTTGAGTTTTGTCGCCACTCTTACATGTAAATACTACATCAAATTTTTTTTTTTACATAAACAATACTAAAAAAGTCTTAATTTTGAGTTCATTTTATTTATTTACATAAAATTAACAATTAATTAGATTAATAAATACTGAAGYCGAAAATCGAAGCATTTTTAATGCCCCAAAACGTAATGAGACACAARAAAATATAAACACACATCATGGTAAAGTMAATACATTCATCACTCCGCTCAGAATCTAAAATTAATAAAAATGTAAACATTTCATTAGAACTTGACTACAAAAATGTTAAATGCCGTCCCTAAAAAATGCTGCCCTAGGCGTGGGCCTATGCCGCCTACCCCTTGAGCCGGGCCTGTCAGTAACGATCTGCAGCTCCAGTGCATTATATCGCTGATCCATACAATTATACTGCAAGTTCGTTGTGTCTGCTGCACCTCTCCGAACGTCGCGGCGTTCGGATTATTGCACGGGCAAAGCGCGCAGTTTTCGACTCGTTTTACACCGGGGGTCTTTAAACCRCGGGCCGCCCTGTTGTCACAATATGCAGCCCACGATCACATTTTAAATTCAGCATGTACATTTTCTATAGTTCAATAAAAATTATAACAGTTAAGCTATCGCTGTCGCAGAAATATGCGATATGAAAAATTTGTAATTAAAAAAAAATTTTATCTATGTATATGTTTTAATAATAATAATTTGTAATTTTAGGTGTACCTACCTAATTTTAAAAATTGTAATAATAAAACTGAATTTTTGTATAAAATATATGTTTTTACTACGAATGCAGCCCGCGAGGTTTAAAAAAAAATAATATTTGGCCCGCTGCAAAAAAAGGCTGAAGACCACTGTTTTACACGGTCAAGCTCACGTCGGTCGCCGCGTCACCTCTYGTCTAATCAAATTGCGCTATTGACGCAGGCCATTTATGGATCGGGAAATCACGCGATCGTCTCGMGCCTGCAAACCGCGTCAATGTTCACAAACACACGACGTCCAGCATCACGCCGAGCGACGCTTCGGTYGCATTCGCCTTATTGACTTGATTGGGCCGCTACCACCGTCCAGCGGATACAATAGTGCCTACTAATGGTCGTCGACCGATTCATGCGCTGGCCGGAAGCGTGGCCGATCGCGAATATAATAATATGTTTGTTGGCCTATGCGGTCGCGCCGCTCTTAACAACTATAACTGGATGGCGCGGTTCGGCGTGCGCGACGTCATCACCACCGACCAAGGCAGCACAACTCGACAGTTCAAGTAGGATCTGTTTGAATCACTTTKAATCACCTTCGGCATTCAGCTCATTCGCATCACCCTCAGGTCAATGGGATGATAGTAGTACTGAAGGTCAGCCAAGCTGCCTATCGTCGTACTGTACCTAGCTGCGCCGCGTAGCGTATTTCTGAACCCTAACTGAGCTGGGGCACTAGTGCCCGAATCCGGTTAGACTCCGTAGTGCGCGTCTTCACTACGTTCCCTAACTGATTTAGGGCACACTTTAAATATTCGTGTAAAAGAATAGTTTTGTACCTATATTAATTATATTTACATAATAATACATT